AAAGAAAAACCACACACCAAAATTAAATGTTCTAGGGGTGCATGGGTGGCTCGGTCAGTTAAGTGTCTGACTCTTGATTTTGGCTCAGGTCATGATCTCATGGTCGTGTGACTGAGCCCCACAACAGGCTCAGCATGGAGTGTGGAGCGTGCTTGGGATTCTTTCTCTCTCCCTTTCTCTCTGTTCCTCCCCTGCTCATGCTCGTTTGCTCTTGCTCGCTCTCTCTCAAAATAAACAAACTTTTAAAAACATGCTCTAACAGGGAAAATATACTTACTTCTACTTGCTATAGTGAATATTTGGCTGATTAAATCTTCTTTTGTCCAGGACTACTGCATTTCCTAGGACATATCCTGGATTGAAGAAACATTCCTACAAAGGAGGGTGATATCCTTTAGGTAAACATCATTATAACTTCCTTTCATTAAGTGCCCAATATTTTCCAGTCATCTTGACAGATGCTTTATATACAGCACATACATTCTCACAGTCTTACCATATAGTTTACTAAACTCAGTTGGCACATGAAAAACTTAAAATATTCTCATATTCACAAGGCGGTGTCAGAGCTAGACTAGACTCCTAGTGTGAATACATCCAGGGCATGCAATGGCCCACCACGCCCACCTGGAAGCAGACCTTGTATACCTTATTCACTTTTCTTGTTGCTACTCCAAAATATAGCTTAGCCGATTGGGGGAAAAATGGAATTCATATACAGAGCAATAAGAATACCAAAATAAAGGAGAGGTATGAATAATGAAAGGAAGAATATCTGGTAACAGTATGATGGTCTGCATATGCAGTGTAGCCTAACTTCAAATCATGGTGGTCTCGCACAGTCATCTGGCTCAGCTTAGTTCCTATGGTTAAGTATTTTAGAGCAGAAGTTACCAAAGAGGCCAAGTCTGGGGCGGGGGTAAAGCGAAGGAATAGATCAGCATGGGTTTTTTTTTTTTTTTTTCTCTGACATTCTACCTCCCCACCTCTGTCCACTTTCTTGTTTTTCACCTTTCCCATTTCCTATCACTCCTGGGACACAGACTCATCCTGTGTTCAGACTGGCACTAGAGAGATTAGTAAATAGTTCGTAGCGATGCCGCAGCACTGTGGAAGCTGTTCGTTAAAGAGATAGTAGCCAAGATGAGGACTGTTACAAACGAAGACTGACAAAAATAACATAAAGGCATACAGGGAGTCATGCAACAATCTCCCCTCACCCATTCGTACACCTATGTTGTCAAGCTGACTTCTTAAAGAAAGGTATCAAGGAGGTAAGAGGGTGGTGGTGGAGGAAAACGGCGAGTCCTCTCCACTCCAGAACAGAGGGGGCACCAGAGATCCCGCCTCTTATGCCAGCCTTGATGGGCCCTATCGTTGGTTACAGGAAGAATAGCACTCACTTCCTCTTGGGGCGTCTGAGGAAGGCGAGACGCCCTCTTTGCTTTCGGCTGCTGCTTCGGGACAGGTGACTGAGGAGTCTTCTAGGCCCAAGCACACGTCGTCAAGGTGAGGAACCCGATTAAGGAATAAGAAAATACCTCCCTCACCCCGAAGAGTGTCTCCCCTGTTCCCCACAAGCCCCCACACCCACTCGCAAGCTTAGGCGGCCCTCGGCAGAGTAGTCAGGAGGAAGCAGATTTCCGCCTGGAGGGTCGCAAGAAATGTGAGGGCTCTGGTGGGAGGCGCCAGTTCAGCGGAGCGAGGAGAAGACCCTAACAAAAACCCAAGTGGGGAAACATAGGTTATAAGTCCCACCAAGGCCTTTCTGGTTCCTCTCCACTTCCGGAGGACCCAAACATGGCGGTCGGGTGGGTATGAAGCTACGTTCCCTCTCTGGAGGATGAAGAATCAGAAAGCCTTGATCTTCCGAGAAGGGTACTACGCTCTAAAGGAAATGAAAGAAGCGAAATTCTGAGCGGTCTGAGGGGGACCGTTATTTCTAGAACAATGAGGCGGCACATAATATTAGCCGCCATCAGTCCTGGGGAGCTCTGGGGGGAAGGGCAGACAGTCTTACTTCGGAAAGGAAGGACTCACGGATGAGAGAGCCTTGGTCAGAAGGGAAAGGGCTCAAGTTAGCAATGGAAGGCATTCCAGCTAGGAATCAGGGTAAGGACTCTGTGAGAACTGAAGGAACCCCTATCCTGCTGGCAACCCTGCTTGCCTGTTCTCTCATAACATGTTGAGGGACACTCATTTTTTTCACTCTGGTGTCATGTGAGGTTTGCGGAGAGGACTGTGTGTTCTGGGGGGGCAACAGGGGTGGAAGGGGGGTGGGGTGGGCTGTGAGAGATTTTATTTAAAAGTGACAGTTTACTCTCTGCAGGAGGATTTTTATATCTTTCCATGATGTCTGAATCAAATTATCGTAGAGAACAATGGCTTCGAAGGGGGATAACTCCCATATTCTCCCAGCGCGTGTAAGCACATGCTGGAAGGAAGATAAGAGTCCCTGCCTATGGCTGGGGCCAAAGGAAAGATGCCGGCAGGGGGCTGGCAGCAGCGGAGGGAGGGTGGGGCTGGCGGGGGGGGAACTAGCGGGAGGGGGGGACCTGGCAGGGAGGGCGGGCAGCGGCGGCTGGCGGAGGGGGCTGGCCGGGGGAAGCTGGCGGCAGCGGCGGGGTGGTTGGTGGCGGAGGCATGGGGGGGGTTGGCGGTGGCGGGGGGAGACGGAACCACTGGGCATTGAAACGTAACAAAAAAATCAGATCCCCACTTTTCAATTCAAACGTAACAAAAAAATCAGATCCCCACTTTTCAATTCAGGACTTGAAGGCTCAGGGCAGGGCAGTCAGGCTGAGGTTCACCCTCACTTATTCATACCAAATCTGAGAGAAGAGATCTTTAGTGTGAGGATACAGCCACCAGTGAGCAGAAGGGAAGTGTATGAGGCACTACCTAGAGGCCAAGGGAGTACCCTGAAGGAGAAATGAGGATCAAAACAGCCCATGAAGGAGAGGACTCCACATAGCTCTCAGTTGGGTGCCCCCTGAGAGGGATAGGGAGTAAAGAACTACTTTACTACTTCTTTTGGGGTCTCTGGCTTTGGTGTGAGGTCTCAGTTTCACAGCAGTAGAATAGAGGGGACCCAGGACTTGTCAGAGTGGTTCAGGATGATCCCGAATGTAAACTGAGAAGACCCCCAGAGCCCAGAACAGAGGTTCCCCACCGGCAGCCCTTGCTGTCACCCCAGTACATCCCAGGCAGGGCTGGCTGACTGCAGTCTAAGGTTCCCTCTAACTTCTCCCATAAAATTCTCAGGGGACAGGCTGGCTACAACAGGAGCCTTGTGGGTTCCTGGAGCAGTGCCCTCTAGTAAACCCGCAGAGGCAGCCTTGGTTAAAGCCAAGGTGGAATCCCCCCCACTGAAGGTGCTCATGTCACCGCATTCTCCTTCATCCAGGGATCTACATCTCCTGATCCTGTTTATACGCCTGCCTCCTGTCCCTGACCAGAGTGCCATCATGCCTCGGAGTCACAAGAGTAAGCTCCAGGCTCATGAGAGACGCCGTCAGGCTCGAAGGGAAGCTCAGGGCTGTGAGGGTGCTCAGGCCATAGCAGCAGTGCAAGGGGAGTCCGCTCCCTCCTCCACTCCTCAATGTGAAGGTACTACCCAGAGGCTGCCTACTACTGGGTCAAGTGGCACTTCTCAGCGGGGTGGAAGAGCCAAAACCACCACCACTACTTCTGAAGCCCATTCTGGCACTAGATCTGATGAAGATGCCAGCAACCAAGATGAGGCAAGGGTGAGCCCCTATGAGGCCCCATTCTACAATCAACGCCCAGGCCCAGGTGAAGATTCTCTAACCAGGAAGCCTGCCTTGCTGGAGCAGTTCCTACTGTTCAAGTATAAAATGAAACAACCCATTTTGAAGGCAGACATGCTGAAGATCATCGGCCTAAAATATGAATTGCGTTTTCCTGAGATCCTCAAGAAAGCTGCTGAGCGCATTGAGATTGTCTTTGGAGTCAACGTGCAGGAAATCGATTCAGCTAGACAACAGTATGATCTCATCAGCAAACTCAGACTCCCCAACAATGGGAGGGTGCGTGCTGGCAGGGGGTTACCCAAGACCGGTCTCCTGATGAATATACTGGGAATGATCTTCATAAAGGGCAACTGTGCTCCTGAGGAAGACATCTGGAAATTCCTGAGTATGATGCGAATATATCCTGGGCGGAAGCACTTCATCTATGGAGAGCCCAGGAAGCTCATCACCAAAGATTTGGTGAGGCTGGAGTATCTAGAGTACCGCCAGGTGGCCAACAGTGATCCTCCACGCCATGAGTTCCTGGGTGGTCCGAAAGCCCTAGTTGAAACCACCAAGACGACAGTCCTGCAATTTTTGTCTAAAGTCAATTATGCCATCCCTACTGCTTTCCCAGCCTATTATGAATAGGTTCTGCAAGAAGAAGGAGCGAGAGCCCAAGCCAGAGGTGCAACCAGGGCTTGCGCTACTACCAAAGTCCTTGCCCCTTCCCGTGTGATGACCAAGAGCATCTCCCAACCACTGATGAAATCTGAGGTTTCTAAACCACCAGACAAGAAAATACAACATCAGAGTAAGAATTAGATTATTAGCAATGTGAAAGAGTCTCACAGTAAAATAGGTAGGATTAATAGAAAAAAAATTCAAACATGGTCAATCCAGTTTTCTAGTTTCTTTTAGTTTTTAGTTTTACAAACGTTTTTATGTTATAGTTTTAAATTTTTCATACTTCAAGAGTGTTCAATAAAGATAAATCTTAGTTCATACTTTAAGTTTGTTCAATAAAGATGAATAAAATCTTAAATGATATGGTGTGTTTAATCATTGTGTTCATCACACAATGAGTATCTATCTGCTCACTGGAAAGCTCAGTGTTAGCACTGCAGATGCTAATATAAAGGCATCCGGTCTCTACTCACAGAGTTTTAGAGCCTTTGAGCTCTACTCATACAAGTAAGATGCTGAAATACCTCTGTGGCTACAGGTGAAGTAAAAACAATGAGGAAGTGGTCCTTATGAGAACAATTAAGTGGAAATTTCCTGAGCAACACAACTTGGGACTTTAGGAACCTCCTAGTCCTCAGTGGGATGTGATTTTCATTTACAGTACGTGGTACGCACAGTTGAGGTTGTGGAGTTAGTAGGTGGAGGCCAGATCGTTCAACAGTATACTTGGGAAGTGAAAGAGAAAGCCCAGTGTTAGTCTGGTTAGGGTGTTACAACAAAATACCATGGAATGAGTGGCTTAAACAATGAATGTCTTCACAGTTCTGGAGGCTGGGTAGTTCACAGTGCGAAGATGCCAGCATACTTGATTTCTGGTGGGAGCTCTCTTTCTAGGTTGAAGACTGCCATCTTGTCCACGTATCCTGATGTGGCAAACAGAAACTTCTTGTTTCTGTTGCTCTTATGAGAACACTAATCACATTATGGGTGTGCTATCCTCATGGCCTCGTCTAACCCAAATTATCTCCCAAACACTGTACTTCCACCTGCCTTCACGTTGGGTGTTAGGGCTTCAACAAAGGAATTTTGGTGAGTGGGGACACACTCAGTCTGTAATAAAAAATTGGTGCTATGAGTTATCTTGGGATTATGGGTAAATCAAAGAGAAATCTCCACCTGGGGCAGAAAAGGAAGAGGTCTTGTGTTTTCATTCCAGTGTGCAAGCTATGTGTTCTAGCCACAACATCTTCATGGAGTTTCTCAGAAATAAGGGTGATACCCACTCCAGGTGAGACGCCACTGTGCCGGCACTGTTTGCCCGGAGTTGGGAGAGCCACAGCCTGTTCATTAAGAGGGCATTTTACTTATATTATCGTGGATGCACTTTGGCAGACTCTAAGCAAGGACTCGCCGTTGGTGAGGGTGTGATAATGAGTGTTAACAGAGGTCATTTGGATGGAAGGGCTCCTGGGAGACATGGGAAAACTTGTACCTTGACACCATTTCTAGGAACTTGACTCGCATCCAACTGAGAAAGACAACTCCGTGCCTGAATTAAATGACAGGTGATCTAGTAGGGAAATTTTAGTTTGTTTTACCAGCTCAGGTAAATTTGTGGTTGGGTGCTGTTCCCTGTCCAAGAATACTGCATATTCTGACATTTCCTGGATTAAAAAAAATTACAAAGGAGGTAGGTGGTATCATTTGGGATCAAGATCATAGTAATCGCCATTCTTTAGTACTGGGTCATATTTCTTAGTCATTTTATCATGCGGTGACATATATACATTCCAACAATCCTGCAAGATCGAGCTTACCAAACTCACTTGGGTGATGAAAAACTTGCAATTTTCTCCAGTTCAAAAGAAGGGTCACTACCAGAGCTGGAACTAGATCCCTGGTTTGAATTTGCCTAGAGGACACATCATTCCACTTCTCCCCACCCAAGGCACACCTTCCATCTCTTAATTTATTTACTCACTCGCTCTTCTAAAATATACCTCAGGCAGTATGAAGGCACTGGAAACCAAATTCCTAAAAGCAGGCCTATTGCAAGGGAAGGTAAACATGAGAACAAGTCATAATTTGTGGATTACACTTTGGGTCTCCTTTTCCTAAGGTCCAACTGAGAACTAATTCTGCCCAGTACCTGGTATTGTGTCCAGTTCTAGCACCTTCCATCATTAGAGAACCCTTCATCTGGGACTTCCTGAGTGTGCCCTCCTTCCAACTCTGGACCCTGACCTGCTGACCAATTCTTCACTTTGCTTCCTCTGATGGCTGCACTCCATTGTTAGAGGAACTGAAAACCTGTGTCACCTGCTCTTGCCCGGACATAGAGCATTCCAACTGCCTGGTGGTCACCTCCTTCACCACAGATACATGTCATTTTCATCTACCTGTTTATGTGGAAATATGGAGATCTTCATTTCTCTCCCTCTCAACATACCTGAGACTGCCTTCTCCAAAAGTTAAGCCTCCCAAGAGATGATTTAAATAGCTGCCTTCTTGCTATAAATTTATGAATAATTTTCTTCACACACTCACTTACATGTGTCAAGTTTACAAGTATAAGTTTTTATAGTTTGTGAATCAAATTGGAAAAACTTCCTCACTATTGTGAATCTAGAACAGGACAACATGGCATCAGAATAGATGTTACTTCATAAAGTAACTCAGCAGTAAAATTATTTGAGTCAAGAAAAGGCAAAATAAAGTAAAAGATTATCAACTCCTATCTTCCTATTCAGTAAAATTTTACGACACATACCTGGATTTGCTTAGCATAAGAATTTATAAGAAATTAAATCGCAGTCAATTGGCTAATATGCTCACTGACCCATTTATTCCCTTAATATGAATCAGGCATCTGCTCTTGGGAACACACCTGTGCTACTGCTGGGGATGTGAGGAGCTGGGAGAAGAGAGTGTCTGGGAGTACTAAAACTAGAAGGACGACAGTAAGATATCAGAGTAAACCACAGGGTGTTTAGACCACAATGAGGGTGTTAGGAGTCCAGATGAGCATGGGGAGGCAGTAGTTAGGAGCCAATGGTACAAATATGTTTGGGAAGCTGCAGGTTTCTTCGGTGAGACTGAAGTTTAGGTTTAACAATGCAGGTTAAGACTGTGGGAATGGGAAACAAGGGTCAGTTCTTCCCATGATGTGCTGAAGGGTTGAGAGACTGAAGCCAAAGTGAAAATGGCTCCTGATTCCTCGATAAACTAGAAAGAAACTTCCCATCAGTAAAGGTAAGGTAGGGGTTCTGGGCCCCTTTTGGCTGCATTTCAACAGCTTGCAAAGCATTACCTGTATCTTATGCTCATAAAAAACCTGCACAATTTTTGTTAAGTGGTCTTATCATTTCACTTCATTCACAACAGATTTTTAAAACTTCTCTAGAGTTTTCATTTTATACACGTGTTCCTTATTTTCCAGTCATTTTGTTAATGATTTCCAGTTTAATTCCATTATTGTCTGAGACCGAAACTACATGATTTCTATTCTCTTATATGTGTTAGATGTGTTTTATGGCCCAGAATGTGGTCTATGTTGGTGAGTGCCCCATGTGGGCTTGACAGGAATGTGTACTCTGCAGTTAGGTGAAGTAGTCTGTAGATGTTAATCATGTCCAACTGACTTATGATATTCACGAGTTCAACTATGTCTTTACTGATTTTCTGCCTGCTGGATCTTTACATTTCAGATAGAAGGTTGTAGATGTCTCCAACTAATAGTGGATTCATCTACTTTCTCTTACAATTTTTGCCTCATACATTTTGATGTTCTGCTGTTAAACATATACCTATTAAGTACTGCTGTGTAATCTTAGAGAATTGACACCTTGATCATTATGCAATGCCTATTCTCTATCCCTGATAACTTTCCTTGATCTGAGCTTTGCTCTGTGTGAAATTCATAGAGCTACTCCCATTTTCCTTTGGTCAATATGACCATGGTATATCTTTCTCTATCCCTTTGCTTTTGATCTATGTGTCTTTATATTTAAAGTGAATTTGTTATAAACAACATGTAGATGAGATTTCTTTCTTGATTCATACTGCCGTTTAATTGGTGTTTTCAGATTGTTGATCTTTCATTCAAGGTTATTACTGATACGACTAGATTAATATCTACCATATTTGCTGATTCTTTTCTGTTTTTCTCTATTTGACTTTTGTTCTTTTTCTGCCTTTGTGATGTTTTAGGTTAATTAACTTAATTGGGAGAATCATTTCACTATACACACACACACACACACACAACACACCAAGACATCTTATTGCACACATTAAATAAACACACTAGGCATCTGTCATTCACAGCTCAGTAAAACTGGAAAAAATTGGGGGCATCTGGGTAGCTCAGTCAGTTAAGCATCTGACTCTTGCTTAGGTTCAGGTCATGATCTCACAGTTCATGAGTTCAAGCCCCGCATCAGGCTCCAAGCTGATGGTGTGGAGCCTGCTTGGGGCTCTCTCCCTCCCTCTCTCTGCCCCTCCCCTCTGCTCAAGCTCTCTCAAAATGAATAAAACTTAAAAAAATATTTTAATGGAAAAAATTAGCTGAACATTTTATATGATTCCATTTTCTCTCCATTCTTAGCATATTGATTCTTTTCACTTCTTTTAACATCTTTTCAGGGGTTGCCCTAGTGTTTACAATATATATTTACAATGAATCCAACCTCACGTTGAAATAACACTATATGACTTTACAGACAGCACAAGTGCTCATATAATCACAAAGTATTCTTAATTCCCTTCTTCTATCCTTTATTTCGTTTCTGTCATTCATTTCACTTAGGTATAAATTACAACAGTGGAATACACCATGGTTACTATTAATTTAAACAAACTGTTATCTGCTGCTGAATGAGAAAAATAAGTTTCATTTTATCTCCACTTATTTCTTCTCTAATGCTATTCCTCTTTTAAAATACATTCTATATCCTTTTCTTGCTTTTTTTTTTAAACAAACTTCTTTGACCACTTTTGCCACATGGTTCTACTGGCAACAATTCCCTCCATAGTTGATCATCTCAGAAAGTACTTCTCCTTCACTTTTGAAGGATAATTTTGCAGGATACAAACTACTAGATTGGTGGTTTTCTTCTGTTGACACTTTAAATATCTCACTACATTCTTTACCTGTTTGTATGGTCTGACAATTA